GTCCACCAGCAGTGGAGTAAGATAAGCTAATGATGGAAGAGATTGTTGGCGATAAACGTTGAAGTAAACGAAATGCTTTAATTAAAAAAGGAAATCTCTCTGCTTCAAATGAATTAAGATAAAGCATTAATTAAATGCCGCTACGCTGCAATCCATCAAGGAACGGATTAATAGAATTAAGAGGCATGATTAATCTGTTCTACGTCATGATTACGACGATTCATTTTGGTGGATTGTCTTTGCACGTGGCTTTACTCGTGAGAAAGAGGAACTAATTGTGATTTATTGACAAAATACTCGTCAATAATGTTAACATTAAAATTTTTATGTTCTGTTGAAAACTACATAGGTACATCCTTTTTACTACACGTGTACATTGTTATAACAACTGACGTCACAACTCACAACTTTGGTGACAGGCTTTATGAATCGTCATAAAAGGCTTTTGATATGACTTGGTTGGCTGAACATGACGTCTGAAGCAGTAGAAAGAAACACAGGTAGAAACCTAACTATCCAGATTAATTCAAGCCTGCAATCTAACTAAACTGGATCTTTACACTGAGAGACAGAAAGTTCGGCTCTACCTTCTTTAGTTTTGACACAAAGGTTTACTTAAACAAAACTGATTTGATTTGCTTCGACCAAGAATCGAACTCAAAAGTCAGACCCACTGCATTCACTGCATAGCACACCACGGGTCTTGATATAAATTTTTACCTATCATCATCATCATTTCAGCCATAGGACGTCCACTGCTGAAATAGACCTCCCCCAATGATTTCCACAATGGCCGGTTGGTGGTGGCTGTGGGTTACCTATATTGTCATGAAAAATTATTAAACAGACTAAAAAAATGTCCCTTTAATAAATGGGTAATATGAAATTCAGTCGCGAAATTAATACGCATCATCAATTTCAAGGATTAAAGGGCTTTATTAACGTTTCATAAAATTTGCTTCAGCAAATTGGCCCCAGGGCTGTGGGTGTCGTTTTATTACACTCTGGCAGATATATTTATCTATCTATGTTTTATCTGAGTACAGTTTGTTTTTAGCACAACGTTATTTCAGTAACTACCCACGTTAAATTGAAGAATAGAATTAACACCTTGTTTTCAATTCAGAAACTTATTGAAATATGTATGGGTAAGAGTAGGAGGAAGATATACCTCGATAAGAAATAAGTTAAATTTTATAAAAAAAAATAAAACCGACTCCAATAAACCTACACTAAAAAGCAGAATAATAATTACTAATTACCTACTTATTTATTAGGACGAATTATTAATATTTATGTAGGTATACCATGATTGATACTTTTGGAGTCGGTGCAGGCAAACTTTACATGTTTCATAATCTTGGCACCGACTCCAGAAGTATCAATCATGGTATACCTACATAAATATTAATAATTCGTCCTAATAAATAAGTAGGTAATTAGTAATTATTATTCTGCTTTTTAGTGTAGGTTTTTTGGAGTCGGTTTTATTTTTTTTTATAAAATTTAACTTATTTCTTGCTTTTTAGTTGACTAATTATTACCTTGATGTTACCACTGAAGGTAGGCAGTACATTGAGACCATATTCTTAATGTATATTATAAAAAAGTTCATCCCCAATTTTCCACCCTTGGGGGTGAAAATTTTCTTCAAATTCGCATGAAACCACCCTTTTGATAATACCTATTCAACAAAAAAATAATCGTTCAAATTGGTTCATAATCGGCGGAGATATTGCGTATAAAAAAGTTCATCCCCAATTTTCCACCCTTGGGGGTGAAATATTTTCTTCAAATTCGCATGAAACCACCCTTTTGATAATACCTATTCAACAAAATAGTAATCGTTCTAATTGGTTTATAATCGGCGGAGATATTGCGTATAAAAAAGTTCATCCCCAATTTTCCACCCTTGGGGGTTGTTTTTTTTATTATTAAATTTAAATGGGACCACCCTTGAGATATTACCTATACGCTGAAAAAAGATTTGTTTAAATCGGTTCATAATTGGCGGAGCTATCGCGTAACAAACATAGAAAAAAAAAAAAAAAAAAACATACGGGTCGAATTGAGAACCTCCTCCTTTTTTTGAAGTCGGTTGAAAATGAATCCAATGACTGTTGCATTATTAATTAAATCTATACAGGGTGTTAGGTAAATGGGTATATGAGCCGACACTAGCCCATGTTAACATGGTCATATAAATCGTATGATGAAGTCAGAAAATTGATAGCTTCATTTTAATTATTTTAATTTTCATACAAATCGGATTTTATAAAATTTATTTTGTATGAAAATTAAAAAAATAAAAATGATGATATCAAATTTCTGACTTCACTATACCATTTATATGACCATGTTAACATGGGCTAGTGTCGGCTCATATACCCATTTACCTAACACCCTGTATACAATATAATGAAATCATGACCGATTTATTACAGATATAAATGGTTGCTTTGAAATGCTACAAATAAGGGCCGGTCGTTACAAGGCTTTAGAAGTGAGGCCTGACATTTTTATTTGATTGATACCTATCTAGAGCTAGACACAAGTTCTCAAATGTTTTCAAAATGGCCCCTTAAATCTACAACTTTGAACTTACAAAAGACAGTAAGAAAATTCGAAAAAGCCGTGAAATCACAGCACAGTGGAGAAGCAAGATAAAGTGGTAAATGGAAACGGGCAGGGCACGTAAACGATGCGTGAAGCTGATGAGAAGGAAAGGTTCCAAGTGGTAATTCGTAATGACAAGCGCAGCGTGAAACCGTGGTGGAACGGTCTACGAAATGGCCATAAAGATTGCACGGAGGCTTTTACGGATCAAAAAGCGATCAGCCTATGGAGCTTATGAAGACATTCAAACAATGTTATTGAGACTGTGCCCCATACATTGTATTTGAAAGACGCTGAATATTCTGTGCAAATAAAAACCAGTCTTAGTTAATTTTACCAGAACGGCACGAAATATTTTGTCGTTGAATAACTAACATAAAAAAGTATAGCGCCGTGCCACACAATTTTATCGTACATTTATTTACGTTTCAAAACATTGGAAACATTCAATTACGGGGCCCAAATGTAAAATAATTACACTAATTAAAGCATTCAGGCGGAATACAAATAAAGCTAATGGAACAAATCAGACGAGTATATCGATCGATACTTTTTTGCTGATTCGATGCTCGCTTTTCATTTGATTTTATTTCTGTTGATGTTAATTGAAACAGTCGAGAGAAATAAAAATTAACACATTTTATTGTTAATTCTTTTCATACGATATATTACATGACATGAAGCATTGAATTATGTTAATTTGACCTTTATCCGCTTGAAGCAGAATTTTAAAAGATTTACTAAGTTACCTTAGTTTTTGTAGTATTTTATTGAGTAAAATATTCAATAAAATTAGCTACTTCTACTTTATGTACCTACCATCTATTCGTAATTTACTTGTATATTAACAGAAAGTTAAGCAACGAAACTATGTTGAGACTGTTTACTTTTGTGGACACTAAAAATCTCTCTAACAGCTTAAAGCTGCCGTGAAAATAAACGCAAAAAAAACCTAAGTGATTCATTGGATTCGAATCGTTCGTTTATACTTTACACCGGCTATCGGCAGACGGTTTTCTCGATTTGTTTTATATTTTTACTTATTGCCTTTTCCTTTATCTTCATTGAACTCGTTCCGGTGTTGGAAGAATCGTCGAAAAATTGCTATAATTGTCATTTAACAAACCGTTCTGTCTATGCAAGTCAATAACAATAAGAACTTACAATATTTCTTACGTCGTTACTAATTATTTATCCTTAGGATTTTTATTTATTTGCAAATAAACGCCGCCGTCTGTGAAATTACTAATCTTGAAAATTTTCGACGCATTAATGAAATATAAATTATAGCCTCGTCAAAGGTTTATGCGGGACTACATATTTTGAGTGGCTTGATCTTTATTGCAAGTACTTTTCTAAATATTTTTATGAAATTCGCGCTTACAAAATTTTGACGAATTCTAGAAAAGTATTAAGTAATGACTTCTTAAGTCTATAAAAGCAAGCAATATTATTTTCTACGAATATTTTTTACAAATACTTATGTACCGAAATAAGTATCTTTAATGGTTACCTTTTTCTTTTTAGGTAGCCTAAGCCGCTTACTTATCGTTATTTTTAATGAAATGTCTTTTCAGTATTGAAAAGTACTGACATTTGCTCTAAAAAAACATAGACATTTTTCGTGAAAACACTTATCGAAATAGGTAGACGTAGTTTTCTTCGAAGTGCCTTACCTTAATAACTTTTTTAATCAGCGTTAGGCGTTTAATTTGGTGCCCACTAACGAGCAGGTTATTTTTATTTTAACGAGTAACATAATGAACTACCTTACGGTATGAAAAATGTCCAATTAGGCCGGACGTTTGCACCTTTAGGTATTAGTTAAGTACTAAATTACATGCTATACGATAACTACCATATATTTTGAGTGGCGTGATCTTTATTACACGTACTTGGCTATTGATCAGCTTGATGGAAATAAAATTCAGACACTAGGTATGAGGAAAAGTCATGAGACTGAAATATTTATAGCAACTCGCTAGAATGGACATGATTAACAGTTCAATCTATATGGTTTGAAGTAGAAAACAATCATTCATAATCATACCATCTCATTTGGTACTCCTAAGTAGGTATTAATAAATTGAGAGATGTATGTCCGTTTTCACCATCATTCCCTAATTTTTAAGTGACCCCTATGAAAACAAAATTCCTATTATTTGTTACCATAGACGTAACTTAAAAATTAGAGATTGATAGGGAAAATAGGCAGTAGTCTCTTCACTATCACAGTCTCAAATAAGTGTAAAAATTACTCTATAAAGAATCTAGCTTTCTCTAGTCCCCTTTAACAAAAAGAAGATTCTCTATGAATTATCATGACACACGAACGAACTGAAGACTGAATAAAAAATCTGACCATAATTTTCTCTTTTTTCCAGCCAAAAGGGGTACAACAGCCCATGGAGTTGGACAACAGTGACCGCGACGGGCGACTGACCGCGGGCCCCGCGCGGGCCGGCGCCCGCGCACCCCCAGTAACGCGGGACGGGAGGGGGCGGGCGGGGGAGAGTGAGGGTGCCCAGTGGTTCCTAAACTGTAGGGTTGGACTTGATACCCCTTAATGATAATGCGCGGCAAACGTTAATCGGCAGATGTCGTTATTTTTTTAAATAGTTGAATTTACGTGATTGGTTGGCATAAGTATTCGGTTATTTTTAATCTATTTTGTTTTAAGGAAAGCGTAGGTGTTCCTATATCATAGATTGGAAACTTTTTGTTCTATCGATACCTAATTTTGTTACAATTGGGTATTAAGCCCTAAACTTTTGATTTGAATTAATCCAGTAGTAAGTAGCGTAAATTAGAAAAGACAAAATAGTACCTTTTTTTTTAATTAGTACCTACGCCATTTGGACTATTCAAATAAGCTCTTATGAATTTAGTTTGCAATTAAAATATTCAAATAAGAACAATCTAAGACCAGACAAAATGTAACAACGATACTTTTGGAAAATAATACGCTTACAAAAGTCAATTTAGTTATTTTAACAAATTATTTTCGTTAAATTTGCGTGCCATTAAATTAGAGAGGGGTAGGTTTGTAACAGTTTGGGAACCACTGTCGTAGGGACTTGATTTATAGAATCAATGTCATACCTTTCTCATGTTTGACAAGACCGCCTATAAGTCCGACAATCGAAACAACTGCTGACGGCTCTAATACACCGATTTCAATCTTACGCCATTGGAAACATAGTACATTTTAATATGCAATGAAGTCTTGTAGGTAGTGTATAAATTATCGCCGATCTCAAAAGTGACAGTTCTGAAATCGCAATGTTAAAATTAAATGATTGTATCTGTACATAATAACTTACAAGATTGAAATGTTTATTAATAAAGTACATAGATTGAAATTGATATCGTTAGTAAGACTAATGACAGCAAAGTAGTAACACTAGGTAATCAATTTGACTAGAAAGCAGTTATCTTTGGGAATGCAACGTCATCGGTAGTGTACGTTAGATTATATTACTTGCATTAGTGCTCCTTCTTTCATAGAGCAACGATTCTGTTACTAAACCGATGTCGATGTGTTCCAAAAAGACGCCACAAATTAGCTGTCCCAATTAATTTTACTTTCTCACCATAATAAACAACAAATCACAAAATTTAGTTTGTAGGTATTTTAAACTCACATAGCAATTTTAGTTCCACGTTAGGCCGCCTTCATGGCGCTAGCTGTCAAAATGGCCCTTTAGTTCCACCTTTCACCGCCTGGCAGACATTTGTGGCGCTGTCGTCGAACTACCCTCACTCTCACCCGCACCAGCCCGGAGTGAACGAATGATCCGTCCGAGAAGCGATCCCGCGTGCTGCGGCCTCTCACGCCATAGCGCGTGAACTGATCTGTATCTTATGAAGTTGCCAACAGTAAGGAAGCTTTAAAGCAAGACTCAGAATCATATTTTGTTATAATATTCACATAGTTAAGCGGGGTGCCAGATAACGTCAAGTTTTAAGTGCTAATTCGCAAATAATTGTTTCCTATGACTGTGTTAGTTTGCATTTGATGAGAAACGTCTATCGACAATAGAGGTTTTCGCTAATCATATTATTTCTGAAATTAATGTTGTTTGTTTGGATTCTTTTTTAAGTTTGTTTGTTTTGTATTATTCTTGTGAATGGCCTTCAACTATCTGAAAGCTTTATGTTATTGTGTCTGTCCGTAGAATAACGTTAAATATAGGCGAAAATAATAGTGTAATAATTTGTTAATCGAATTCATTAAATTACATTTTAGACACATTACCAATTAAGTATTTTACATAGTATGAACTTCTTAATCGAACTATCAGTTCTTAAGATAATTTTATTGCAGTGAACTTGGACAATATAGTTTATTAGCTTTTTCACTAATAGTTTTTTATCTTGTAAGCTTGTACAAAATCAAGATAAAATAGAAATTATCAATTAACTAAAATGTGACTGTCTTCAATTTAGTTCTTTTAGAACTAAGCAACTTCATGTACCACTATTTTGTTAGATTTAGCCATCAATAATGTTCCCCACTGTATTTTATGCACAACGTGTTTCTCAATGTGTTGTAAAAGTGTTATTTATAAGCCCAATTTATAGCTACCTATAGTAAAATAATCATAAAATGTTAAGCATTAAAACTACAATGTTATTGTTTGAACTCTCTAAGTTAGTGTATTCGTGCAATATCTACATTCGTTATGAACATTTTGTGGCAGCATGACGTATCTGGCAACCCAACCACGTATACAGATAAGTTCACCCGACTATGCCTATCAATGGAAGGGAATTGCTATTTCTACTAATCCCACCTTTGAGCGTCTACGTACCCTAATATAGTTCGCAGTGGTAGACGCTACACCATATCCGTACTTCATAAGTTGTGCGTCGAGTGAAGGCGTCATGAACACTATTATAGATCATATTTTATTGTTTAGTTGTGATATAATACGGCTCGGCTCGTGCCGTTCCAAATCAGTGCAATCTAACTTGGACTGTATGTATATCGTAGTTAGAAATATTAAGTGGCAGTACGATGCATTTAATTTATGTGAGGCGAGTGCCGACCGAATTTGTAATTCAAATCTTTCATTTACACATAAAATAACGTTCGCAGCGAAAAAAAAGCCGACTATTACTCGAATACCGCATTACTTGTTCGAATCCATTAAATTGTAAATATGATAAAATTCATTAAATTCACCGCCATTTTAATGACACAGATAAAAAATGTAGGGCAACTTTTAGTGCCAGCAAAGAGTTTGATTACAAAGTCGGCCTGCACAGCACTTTAATATTTTTAAAGTCAGTTACACATTGGCGATCCTAAGGTTGCCAGTAACTGGCTGGTTGAAATGGGAGTGGCACGCAGCGTGATCTCCTCACTGAGTTACTATACAGCCCCTCATGACAACGTCGCTCTCATTTTAGCCAGAATCAGTGTTAGAGTCATAATAATAGTTAATTCGGTCCGAGTTTTTACGACTCCACGGTATTATCAAATTAAAATTAATTAGTTACCTACAGTTGTACATTATTATCATTAACTAAGCCTTTTCGAAAATGTATATGTAGCTACTAAGCTAAGTCGCCTATAAATAACACATCTTTCTTATTAAATCTTAAAGCAAATCACTTAGTTTTAAGAAAAAAGTCACGTTATCAATTTTCGTCATAAAATGGGAATTAGGTCCTGAAACAAAAATATGTCGTTAACTAATTATAAATAAATAATGATAAATATTTTACTTACAATTTATTCTAAGGCACATTATGTAAAGTCCGATAGAATTGATGTTTGGTTTAATTTCAACATCCACTCGATTGTAATAAAAGTGTGAAAATATACGAATTACAGAGTACTTAACGAAAAATTAAGCAAATATATCAGTTAATTAGTACAACAAATAAGAAGTCGTAGAAACTCGCCACCGAAACGAAATCACTTTTTATTAATTAAAGAAAAAACTATTTATTTCGTTATTTTTTAAGTTTTCGATGATTTTAATTGTTCTCGTTACTTTCCTTGGGAATCTTTATCGATTTAGAGCTAGTAAGTACAATTATCGTGCAGTTTCGACGTAATGCGGGGTCTGAGGCCGGTGACTACAACACTTAACCAAAACTTCATAAGTGAATACTTTTCTAATGTACAATCCCATTTTTCTATTCTGGACGCTTTAGTCTCGTCAGTGACCATAATGACCTGTAATATCCGGAATTTACCGGTACACATCGGTATTTTAAACCACCCAAAACCGGTTACAACCGCCCGGCCCCGTAAGAAGTAAAGTTGTTGGTTATTCTCCTTTGTGAGTATTCACTATTCCAAAAGTTTCCTGATGTAATTTATTGACTTGAATAAATGAAATTACGCTTCTAAAGTGTACTATTACATATGTAAATATAGGACGAACTAATACCTATTATAATAGTGAATGTTGTAATTTGTATATAAGTAATGAAAATTAAATTTTAAATACATAGATAATTGTGCGTGCATATTTATTTATCCTTATCCTATTCCTTCCTTGTCTATTTCGAAACGTTTTTGTAAGAAGTCGTAAAAGATCACACTTTGGGAAACAATTCCAAGAAGCTGTACAAAAGACAAGTCTTCAAAAACTCAACTTTCTTTTGCCTTTGAGTGACACGTGTTTTCCTAAAATACAACTTTATTCACGAATTCGAATACTTTGAAACTTTGTAAGCACGTTTTAAAGCAATAAGAAGTAAAGTCTTAAACAGGGAAAATGGTAGAAAAATTGAAAAATACAAATTGTAAAAGTTGTAACTGGTAAGTCCAATGTTTTTGTTTTTCTTTGCCAATGTGACAAATAAATATTCGGTCAACACATCTTAATGAATTATGAAACTTGCTACAAAAAAAAACTATTACGAATGCAAACACTGAGTAAACTGAGTTACAAGACAAACATAAAAATAATATGGCAAATACGTAAGGGAGAGTCCGCTAATTTGGATCAGTTTTTTTCAATCCCATTTTACACATAGTTTTCTTTTGTTTTTGCTAATGTCCATGGTATATAATAAAAGATACATTATTCAACTTACTATTTCATAAGTATTAATTAACATAATTGTTGTATATTTAGCACAAATCAACAAAGTACGAGTTCAGAGCTTCGGTCCAATTTAGCCAACCGGTTCGATAATTTGTACCACAGGGCTACTAAATTGGATTTCAATAAATTTCAAGCCTTTAAAAAAACTATGGCAAAATATTATACGATACATTCTTAACAAATTAGGAAACGAAGAGGAACAATAGTTAATAACATAGACAATCGATATTGTTTTACACGTTATCACGATTTTGAGTACAAGTTTTGTAATTCCAATTATCGTAACGCACACTTGTACCTAATCTACTTTGCCAGTCTTTTGCTTTCATTTATTGTTAGTCAAACATAACTACGCTATTATAACTTCAAAATATGATTTACTAAAAAAAATTTCAAAATCCTTTGGTAAAGTTCCATACAACTTGATGTGGTACAATTTAGCCGACTAGGTGATAGTGCTTTTAAAAAATCGGTAAAAAATATAGCTTATAAATAAAAATGTTTCAATTAATTGTAATCCACACTAATTTACGCTTCTAAATAATATATTAGAAACACCCTGTGATTAAATTTAACAAAATTACAATCTAAACATGTATTGTCAAAAGTTACTTGAAAACAATGAAAAAATACTTTTCAAAATAAAACACACGTGTTTGTTGTCACGGCAAAAACCACATGGCCGATATTAATTGATTTTAGTTGAGTATCGCTGAGTGTTGCAATTACAGACATTCAATAAATACTTTACGAAATATGAGGGTGGTACAATTTACCCGGCGGTACAATATACCGAACTCTCCCCTATAACATCTGACACATTTTTATGAATGAAAATTAGTTTTTTCGAGATGGCACTTATAAAATATAACTATTAACATCTATGCTAAAATGAAACAACGATCTAAAAATTCAATATACAGTATATAATTACAATAACTCAATAATATACACATTTCAGTAGGGTTGTACATTGTTTATTGGAAATTATTAATGTATAGCACTGATTTAGCTATGTACATAAGTATAGGTTCATATAAATAGGTTAAACATATAGTATGATATTGAATACTTTGAGTAGGAGACTTAGAGAGATCGTATTTATGATAGAATAGTAGTAAGACGAAAATGAACAGTCCTCCATGCTTGGGCGATATTTAATTCTATTTATTTTTAGCCTTACATAGGCATATCTATTTTAAAATTACATAAGAACCTAGCTGCAGCACTATCAGGTTATCACAAAACTAAGTTAAACTATAAATCAGAGCCAAAATACTAAAGAAATTGATCAGTGGCCATCGATCATAGAACCAACAAATAATACCGCACCATTGTAATTAAAAACTAGATTAATATAATAAAAAGTTAATGTATAAGAACAGGAAATAAACCTTTTGTTGTCCTATATTCAAAGTTTTAAAAAATACGTAATAATAATATTTAATAACTTACATTTGAGGCGATAACGGCCCAGCAGAGTCTAAATTGCTGGAAATCCGCCGACTTAGAAAAGTATAAGA